CTGTTTTTTCTTCTGCGTCAGGGTTTTTTTTTCCAGCTTCTTCTACTCTGTTTATTACAGCAGTGTAGTGAACAGCGCCACCTTCTGGCGACACCACACAGCCTCACTTTTTATTTTTAGCCACACTTATTTAAAAGTTCACCTAAACATTTGCCCGACGTTTCCACAAGTTGTTAATCAAAACATCGCCTCTAAAATTAGCTTTCTTTCACAATTGCGGTGCAGCTCTGTAACTGAAATGTGTTAAAACTTTACAAACTCTGCTGAAACGTACGTGACATCCGCTTGGTCTCGTCTTTCCCCAGCTTTTAATCTAAGAGGGTAAAGAATGTACAGCGACTGTCCCGTCCATCCACCCCGACCTCCTCCCTGCATGGACCAGGCAGTTATTACTCCTGCAGCCACTAGAGGGCGACGTCACTCGAACTGAAACACACAGGGCCGAACAACCCATAGACTGTAAAATGAAGTGTTAAAAACCTGCAGTATCACTACGTCCACTAGCTGCTGGCTCCACAAAGCCCTGGCTCCCATAGACTGGAACTGGACAAGAAGTGATCACAGATCATGAAATACTGCATTCCTACAGCTCAGGATTGTTTTCTTATTAGTTTTCATGGTCAAGTCCAGAGATCAGGTGGCCAATCTAAAAAAAATAAATCAATACTGAATTTTTAAAAAATCGTCAACATGTTGCGGGACAAGGGGCGTGGCTGGCTTGATTGACAGTTGGCAGCGACCATACAGATGAAGCAAGCAGAAGGCGGTAAATGTGGGCGGGGCAGAGAGGGCCCGCCTCTCAATCCGTCTGACCAATCGCTGCTCCTGTGGCTCCGCCCCCCTCCCACGATTTTTGCGTCACCAAAAATCCAAGATGTCAACCAGGAAGTAGCAAAACCCTGGCTTCATGTTCTCAGTGCAGAAACCAACGGGTGACGTCACGGTAGCTACGTCCATCTTTTATACAGTCTATGGAACAAGCTAAAGGATTTTGCACACCATGTCCGATTTGTTTTTCTTCTCAACTCTGGATAAAACAGATTTTTTCTTAAAAGTCCATCATGAAGCGAGGTGTAGCCCCCAAGAGCCGATGATCCGAGAGCACAAAGAATTTCATCAGCCTCGTCCGAAATGTTTAGAAGATCAAAACACCGTGTCATCGGAGCTGCTCCTGTGACGGACGAGCCTGTCTCTGAAGTTTACTGACAAATTCGGCTGATTTACGGTTGGCGTTGCGTAACGGGGAGATGTTTGGGTTAGCGGCTGCGAGTCCTCTGACAGATGAAGGTCGTCCGTGGGCGTTGGTCGGAAAACTCGAAACTGACGTCGGCTTCGTGAAAAAGCAGCATGACGTCGTGCTTCTGATGGACCTCCAGCACCGTCGGGCCGGTCCATCTCAGATCATCGGAGTCCTTCTCTGATTTGCTTCAAACTTGTTCGTCTATAAATATCTTCATCACTACATCAAATACGTTCCAAGATAACATTTTTTAAAAAACGCCCGTCGACCCACTTTCAGCAAGAATCATTTAAATCTGGCTGTTAGAGGAACTATTAGCGATAAAATCCTGCAGTTGTTTCTCATCGTGCTGTTGATTCAGAATCTGCAAGATGCAAACATGCCCGTATTAAAAAATCTGGGTTTTTTTGGTTATATTTGGAGACCATTTGGAAACACCAGAACCCTGCTGTAGTCGGTGTGGTGCAGCTTGACCAAGAGCTTCATATTAAACAGTATTTTATATGTTTAGGTTATAATACGATGACATGCAGCTACGTTTGGTTCAGAAAATATCACTAATTAGCTTCTGCATTATTCATTCTTTTGTTATTGTGAGTCAAAGATGGAACTTTCTAAAAACATATATATACATATTTCAACTCAGCCATAATCAGAGGCCACTGGGGCTCCTTGTCCCGTGTTGTAAATACAGAATAAATGACTTGTTGAGAAACAACAGTGAACATTTCAGACTTGTACCTTTCATGTTTAGTGAGATATTGACGTTTACATTTTTTTTTTAAGCAGCAAATTTCAATTTCGTCTCAGAAGCTGTTCGACATCTTGAGCTAAAATTGACCAGATTCCATTTTAAGGAGTTCCAAATAAGTCAGAGGTGGTCGAGCAGGAGAAGGTTGGTGATCTGGCACTGACTAATCCACGTATGAGTAAAACCGCTCATTTTCTCGTCCCTCGAACGCAACTCAAGACTTGAAGTTTGAGCCCTGAACGACTCACTCGTTTAACTCGTTTAAATATGATGCTGGAGCAGATATAATAGATAAAAAAATATATAGATCACAAACTTCAGGAAGCTAAAATGTCACAGCTTTCTCTATAAACGTCTGCAGACAATCTGATCTATCACAACACTTTGTCCCAGTCGACCCTGAACGCACCGCGGACGGACAACCCTCTGCTAACCGGCCTGTCAGTGAAGCACACACTCCTCCAAACCCCCACCGACTCCTGGAAAACACTCGGCGAGCTGCGTTCGCACGCGAAGGTGCCGCTCCGGCCCCGTCGTCCCGACATTCTCAGGTGGTGAATTCAGAGCGAGCGCCGGCCCGGGGCCCGGGGTTTCGGGGGGCCGGCCCCTGGGATGAACCGCGCCAGGCCAGACTGTTATTACTGCAGCAACACACACCGAAAACACACACCGAAAACACACTCAGGGACTCGGCTCGTCTGGCCTGTTCGCTCATCTGGGGTTGATTAACTTCACCACTTCCCTGCACACACACACACACTAACATGAGCTGTGGTGTATGACTGAGCAAACTGTGTGTGTTTTCGACAGGCGGGGGGACGCGCACACACACACACACACACACACACACACACACACTGAGTGAAGTGACGGCGGCTTCCCATGAACTCGATCACCCCTCCAAAATGAATTCTGACTTGCGGGACTCGCTTTCGTTCTCTGCTTTCAAATAATTCGACTCGTCCTCGGTGGTCAAAAGCTTTCCAGGAATTTCCAGGCGTCGCCTCAAAAGTCAGAGGTGCCACAGATATGCCCTGGTTTGACTTTTTGTTGTTGTTGTTTTTAGATAAATGAGGAGATTGATCCCGTTGGAGAATATAATCTAACTTTACACCTCCGTTGTGGGGATGCGAACGCTACGACGGCGGTCATCCCTCGTGCACCGGACCGGCCGTTAGCTCCAGGTGGCTAATTTTTCTGTGTTTAACTTCATGCTGAAAACAAAAAAAATGATTCATGTGCAAATCGGGTTTCAGGTTTTCGTCCAGAGTTTTTCCTGGCTCGCGTCCGGCTTCCAGTGGGCGGCTACGCACGACAGTGAAGGACCTATTTTTGCAGAAATGTATGCGTTTTCCTGTTATTTCTGACCATTTAGCGAAGCAAAAAATGCGCCTTACGCGTGAGCAGTTAGTGGAAACGAGCTTGATTCACACTTTCTACAAGATCGAGCCTCTAAATTGTGTTTATTTGTGTGTGTTTTTGTGAAAGCTTTGCCCTCCTGTAGCATAAATGTCGTGGCTTTTTTCCAAACCAACCCAGAAAATAGTCGGGTTTCCAGTTTCCAGCTGGAGGACAACAATTTCAACACCACATTATATATATATTCCAGAACCAGGGGCGCCCAGAACTTCATGTCTTTACAGTATGACGTTAGAGCAACAGAACCCATCCATCCACCCCGACCTCCTCCCTGCATGGAGCCCAGCTGTAAACCCTCCGTCCACTAGAGGGATTCATCGCTTATACGCTGCATTTTTGGAGCTGAACAAGCTAAATAAGCAAAAGGAAGCAAGGATTTGAGAAAGGAGAACGTGTTTTATGGTTGAACAAACGGCTGCAACGCGCTGCACAAAAACAAAATCAACTCTCCAAACTCTCTAAAAATGAAATTCACGTTGAAGGATTGTTTTGATCCAGTTGAGAAGCTTTATAAATGTTTCCAGTGCGTGCTGCAGGAGTGTCGCTGCACAACGAGGCTAATTCATTTCAGGTTCGATTTTTTAAGTTTTACTGGCGCGAAACTTTTGTTTTCGCTGCCCTCATGTTGTAAGGAAGTCATGGGAACCGACACTTGAGGACCAAATTCTGAAAACGTGCTGCCGCTCAACCGTCACAACTGCTAACGTTAGCTTATTTAGGCTAACGTAGCAATAGCCGGCACTGTCAAAACCTACCACAAGCAGATTGTGTGTTTTTAAATGGAAGAGTTTAAGAAGTTATTTGGATTACTGTGCACAAGAACTTTTACAGATTGAGGTTTTGCGAGCCAAAAACATTCGTTAGTTCACTTAAACTCACCTAAATAAGGATGTAAACAACACGTCCTGTCAATCTTGCATCATTTTTCCAACTAGCTGGACGCTAAAATAAATACAGATGCAAAAAATATTTCAGTATCGTAAAAGGAAACAGGTGCAAACCATAAATCAGACTAATGCTATGCTAGTTTTTAGCTTGTTAGCGACCCACTGACAAGCATAACGTTATGTTTCACGGTTACACCATTAAGCTGCGGCTCTTTTCTTTCCTGGAATAATTCTGTCACATTGGCTTTAATGAGAGACGCTCAACGAGCTGGGAAGCCGTCAGCAGCCACCCTGGACTTGTCCTTCCAGACTTAAGGTTAAATAAATCACTGATATATTTCCACATTCCTGCAGCGATCTTGTGGGACTGCCGGCTGGGAAACCGGAGCCTGCCAAACCTTCCCTCCGCCCCGCTGGAGAACACGGCGTTGAGAAATTACCCCGCTCTCCGGGGAAACTCGCGCTGCGTTTTATCTCTTTGATTCCTTTCCCCAAAACAATTTGGGCTCATTCTTTCCTTGGCCGCCGCAGCGCTGTTGTTGCTGAGAACACCGTCGGCTCGGCCCGGCGCGCAAATTGGTTCGACAAACAACGAGCGTGAGTCACAGAGGAAACTTCCCACCTTGGCGGCGCTCCATGCCGCCTCGTTCTGGCTTTAACAAGTGAGCTTTTTAGAGGTCCAACGTTCGTTTTATGTCCTCACCTGTGAGCTGCAGAACAACGGAGATGTTGTCTCACACGCAGCCTCGTAAAGCTGAGAGTTAATGAAGCGTCACATCGCTCGGTTCAAAGGTGCTCGCCGAAGCCTCGCCGTCCGTCCGTCCGGCTGACTCACAGCTCTGTGGGCTGAAACCAGCGTCAGCGCTTCAGCAGCTGCTCGGCGTCTCGTGTAAACGCTGAAGGTGGAAGAAGATTCGATTAGAGAGCAACAGAATTAGAGATGCTTAAGCAGAAAAACAGGCCTCTGCTGTTGGTGCATTGTGAGTCTGTGGCTCCTCTAAGCCGACGTCCTGCCTTCAACCCCGACATATTTTTATTCACTTTTTTCTCGTCCTTTGTGCCGAATGACGCCGTTTTATAAATCATGATCAGAATAAAAGACCTTAAATCAGCAGGTACAACATGTTTCCAAGCACACACACGTTATGAATACTGGAAGGAAAGTCGTGCATACTTTAGATCATTCACTGCGATGGAAACCGTACACAGCCTGCAGTTCAGCCAAAAAGTCCTTGAATTTTTGTCACGTGACTGTCAGGCCCAGTCGAGTCATGAATAGATTCATCATTGTGACAAGGAGAGCAGAAATTGTTCATTTTTTACAGAATCTGGCGAAAGGGAACGGTTTGTTTATGGGAGTATTTTTAAATTAGCACCGAACAACAAAGTGTCTCAACTAGCGATGCACGATATTAAAGTTTTGGCCGATATCTGATATTAACGTTTCTGATATCGCTGATAACTGATATCACCGATGTCGATATTAAAAAAAAAAAGAGTATAAGTAAGCACTGTGAGAACATGAAAACTATTCAAAAGAGGCCCAATTAGACCACATAGTCTAACAAAAGTAAAACATATTTAAACATATTTAATGTTAAAGGACCATTTAATTAAAAACATCTGTGAAACAGCAGCGATATCAAACGTAGAGACGAAGGCGCTGTTCTTAGATGATCATCGGACCGATACCGATGTATTGTGAAAATCACTAATATCGGCCGATACCGACGTGGTCGCCGATATATCGCATCCCTCGTCTCAACTTACATTTTTCTAGTAGAACAGTTTCTAAAGTTTCTCGCTCTGATAAATGGTGTAATTTTATCTTTTCTTTAGAATTCCTCCCCAGGGGGAGGAAGGGGTTCAGTTTGGGAACCACAGAATCTCATCTCTGCTGTTTGCAGATGATGTTGTTCTGTTGGCTTCATCAAACCAGGACCTTCAGGATGCGCTGGAGCGGTTTGCAGCCGAGTGTGGTGCGAGTGGGATGAGGATCAGCACCTCCAAATCCGAGGCCATGGTTCTCGACTGGAAAAAGGTGGCTTGCCCTCTCCGGGTCGGTGGAGAGTCCTTGCTTCAAGTGGAGGAGTTCAAGTATCTCGGGGTCTTGTTCACGAGTGAGGGGCGGATGGAGCGTGAGATTGACAGATTGATCGGTGCAGCGTCTGCAGTGTTGCGGTCGCTGTACCGGACCGTCGTGGTGAAGAGAGAGCTGAGCAAGGCAGCAAAGCTCTTGATTTACCGGTCAATCTACGGTCCTACTCTCACCTATGGTCATGAGATCTGGGTAATGACCGAAAGAACGAGATCGCGGATACAAACGGCCGAAATGAGTTTCCTCTGCAGAGTGGCCGGGCGCTCCCTTAGAGATTGGATGAGGAGCTCGGAGTAGAGCTGCTGCTCCTCCACGTCGAAAGGAGCCAGCTGAGGTGGCTCGGGCATCTTTTCCAGATGCCTCCTGGACGCCTCCAAGGTGCGTCCCACTGGGAGGAGGCCTCGAGGAAGACCCAGGACGTGTTGGAGGGACTATGTCTCTGGACTGGCCTGGGAACGCCTGGGGGTCCCCCCAGAGGAGCTGGAGGAGGTGTGTGCTGATCGGGAAGTCTGGGCGGCTTTGCTGAGGCTGCTGCCTCCATGACCCGACTCCGGATAAGCGGGAGAAGATGGATGGATGGATGGATGGATGGATGGATGGATGGATGGATGGATGGATGGTCTTTAGGTGGAAACTGGGGTTGCTGGGAGTGAATTAAAGGCCCTTTAAATGCTGTATCTGCTGCATCAAACATCTCTACTGCTGCTGCTATTGTTCATTTTCAATCAGCGCTACGTCCAACAACACGTCACGTTGGATCAGTTCAGCTCATTAAACTTCAATGTACAATCACGTAAACTGTGCAGAGTGTCGTACTTGCATTCGCACCAAATGGAAATCCTCCACGTGACTCATTTCTCTGAAGACGTCACATGCAAGCTTCCACGTTATGAAATCTCCTCATCGGGCTGTCGTAAGTATGAAAAATGTCATAGAACAGAGAAGTGGTGGATTTAATGGCGATTAGGACGAGTTAGCGGCGCGGTGGGCCCCGCCACGCTGCTCCCATGGGCGCATGTGTTTATATGAAAAGGAATTTGGACTTGTAAAAAAAAAGCAAGAGCCACTAATGCGGGGCTAATTCGACAAAGATGGAGGGATTAAGACGGATCGTAACTTGATTTGCTGTGTTTACATCCGAATGCTGTCAGAAAAGCAGATTATTAGAGACCACAGACACAGAAAACGTGCAGAGCGAAGCTGTTCTCTCTAATTTAACTCCATCGAACAGCATCTGGCGCTTTCATCGACGCTTTGACGGTTTTTATGAGTCGAAATGTTCCGTTATTCTGAGAAACTAAAACATACCACAGGACAATATCTACAAAAACATGAACTAAGCCGAATAATAGTTTTATTTCCACATCATCAGCCTCATATAATGATATTGTTTGTGTAGTTTTGTCACCTTTTTGGGAGCTTTACTGTTTGTGAGTTCTTCCAATCGGATCTTTTTTTCCTCGTCTGTGTTCTGTAGAGACACACGTATGAAAAATGTTAAAAACATTAAAAGTTAAAAGCATAAAATACCGTTAAATGTTAGCATGAAGCAGAGCATTACATTAAAAGCTTTCAAAATACAATAAACAAATAAAATTTATTGAAAGACAAATCATAAAAATATCAATAAAACAACATAAAGTTTGCTTAAAATTAAAGCAAAAAATACAGAAAAAAACTACATCAAATAAGTTTAGTGCATAAATATACAATAAAACAATAAAAACAACAGAAAATTAGATAAAAAATACATAAAACAAAGCATTTAAAAACTACATAGATTTAGGTTTATAACACAAAGCATAAAAAAATCTGATAAAAAGTAAAAACTACATAAAAAGTTCCAACTATAGAGCAGAAAAATACGAAAAATGTAAAAATAAAAACAACATAAAATAAAATTAATTTTATGTCGTTTTTATTCGTTTAAAAGACGAAGCATAAAAGTACAAAAAATAAAATAAAAACTTAAAATTAGATTATAAAACCAAGCATAAAATAATAAAAACTACATAAAACAAGTTCATAACATGAAGCATAAAAACATAACAATAAAAACTACACATTAGATTTAAAAAAAATTTATTTACAATAAAATAATACAAAACATAAAATTAGATAAAAAGACAGCATAAAAATTCAAATAAACAGGAAAAACTACAAACAAACTTTCAATATATTCAGCATAAAACTATGAAAAAATAATAAAATGAGTTTCAACGAAAAAAAAAAAACGTACATACAAACATAAAATTGGTTTAAAGGCAAAGAATTTAAAAAAATCTATAAAATAATAACAAAAATTACACAAATTTAGATTAGAGGACAAAAGTTCAACAGAAAAGTAAAAACAACATAAACTTAGATTGAAACAGAAAATATAGAAACAGAATAAAACAGCTGGAAAGATGCTACATGCTAACATGCTAACAACAAGCTAACGAGGCGTCTTCATGCTTCAGCGGCTGAGCTGCTACGAGGCTGCTCGAGTGTGTGTGTGTGTGTGTGTGTTTTTTTTTGTGTGTGTGTTTTGTTTAAAGGCAGTTTATTAGCGGGCGTCACACGGTTTTAATTTCGGGGTTTTATTAGCCGATAAACACACAGACGTGATACATTTACTCTGCCACTCCGGCTGCGTGTGTTTAAATGTTTAATGAGGAAACACGAGCGCCGTCCTACAAACGCGATTAGATAATAAGATCACGTTACATTTAACTGTTATCTTCTGCTGCTAACGTCGCCTTCGTCCTCCTTCTTTCTTATTTTTCCTCCTTAATCTCTCCTCTGTCTTTATTTATGTTTCTTCCCTGAATCCTCTTTAGTTTCTCTTTCATGTAATTGACCATAAATTAAATAAACTTTCTATTTATCATCATCAGCGGCTGTAGATCTGAGTTTTGGCCCAACAGCAGCCCCTGGAGGCCACAGGTGGTATTACAACAGGTAGAGTTCATCACTAGCTGTCAGTTTTCTCTGCTGTGAGGGTTTAAAAAGCCCAAAGTTAATGCGATTAAAGTTTAAAATTACTTCTCAGATTTCCATCTGTCATGTGTGTTAAATTTAGTAACACAGGAGGAAGAGAATTTAGAAAAATATGAGCAAAATGCTGCAGAAATGTGAGAAATATCACTTTTTAAATCATAGAAACGCTTTTGCCTCAGAAAAATGATCAGAATCACTATTTAAATAAAGTTTAACAGTGCTGCTCAATTAAATCACCTAAAAACGTTTAAATCTGTAAAATAAGCTTTCAAACTTGGAACTTGTTGGTGGTTTCATGACTAGAAATGTGCATAAAGTCACAACACGGCGGCACATTATTGAAATACAAACGACTTTATGGTGTAAAAGTGAGTTGAGTTTCCGTTAAAATGAACTTTTTTTTTTTTTACATTTTACAAGCATAAATTGGATTAAAGGCAACATTAAATGTTCTTATACTGAAATGAAATGCATCATTTACACCCGTATTAGAGTCATAACCTGAGCTTCATGCAGGTAAAAACCAAATAAACCAACCTGTGCTCCCATAAACGAGGACTTCTGACCCATCATTAACTTTAGAAATGTACCAACTTACTTCTGTAAGCATTTAAATTAACATACTTTTAATTTTTAACATAACAGCAGAGCTTCTACACTTGAATCTGAACAGAAGCTCCTCAGCATCAGTTACCATGGTGATGGTTAGCATACCTCGCTAACACGCTAACCCAGCTCCATAGTTTGCACCTGAGTCGTCTGCAGTGACTCATGAGGCAGGAAGTCGGCCTCGCAGGAACAATCTGGTGAGATGAATCAAAGCCGAAAGTGAAACCATCCGGACCACACGGCCTCGGATCATCTCGTTATGAATCCACATGAAGCTCTGGAGCTGAACCCGTTAGTCACCGCCGCTGACGGACGGAAGGAAAACAGGCTTCCTCCAGTCTGACGCATCTTCAGCAGCTTCACCACATCAAGAGCTCAGTTGCCGTTTTGGGCCAAGTTGCTTTTAGGATCTCGTTGCCACCAAACATATTTCTGGCACGATGGTGTCACGTTGCTCAGAGCAGCTTTGAATTTACAGTAGAGGAGGAAGTATTCAGAACCTGAACTCCAGTAGAAGTGTTTAAAAAACTAAACACGTATGAGGAGAACAGGAAATGTAAATATAAGCATGGAAATGTGTTGAAAGTCCCCAAATCTAAAAACTAATATTAAAAAACAACAACAACGAAACAGTTTGAATCAGTCTTTTTGAGTTGAGTCAACTTCTAATGAAATTAAGTTCAACCAACAAACACTGAGTTCATCAAATTAGTTTTTAATCAAAAATGAAAACTAAATTATTCGTGTTAACTGTCTGAACTCGTCCAGGAGACTTAAAACCTTGAGCTCAAATTATCCAGATGATTAAGTTAGCTCAACTTTAATTTAGTTAAAAAACACCGAACACAGAAATTTGAATTCAAATTACTCACAAGATTAAGTTGATTCAAATGATTACATTAATTCAACCTATCAAAATAAGGGTTTATCTACAAGGACCTGAAAGTAAAAGTTTTTTAAAAAATAAATAAAAAATGCTCCGTTATGAGTAAAGTAATAATGAGTAGAAGATAAAATGTAAATATCAACCAAGAAAATGTGTTAAAAATCAATTAAATGTTTTAAAAAAACAACAAAACAAAACACCTCAAATCAGTCTTTTTGAGTTGATTCAACTTCTCATGAAATTATGTTCAACCAATAAAACAATTTGAGTTCTGGGAATTACGTTTTTTTGTTTGTTTTTGTTTTTAAACAAAAATCTCCAGTAAAAACTAAATTATGTAATTTAATTTTCCAGGTTTGTTAAAAGTCTAAAATGTGTGTAAAAATTAATGTTTAAAAAAGAAAAGACAGAAACTAGACAGTTTGAATCAGTGTTTTTGAGTTGAATCAACTTCAAATGAAATTATGTTCAACCAACAAACAACACTGAGTTGGGAGAATTATTGTTTTTGTCTTTAAAGGATTATTTTAATCAACTGCCTGAACTCGAGGTGAAGAAAAAACGTATTTATCAAGCTGATTTCTTTAAGTTGCCTCAACCTGAATTCACACAGAAAACTGAGTTCAAATTACTCAAATTAATATTTAGTTAATTCAACACATAATTATCTCACTGATCATCATTTTATCTTCAATATAACACAATGTTGGATTATTTATTTATAAAACATTGAATATGGTGACTTTTGGGCTTTTCAGTTTGTGTCCAGGAGGCACAACATTATTATTATTATTGTTGTTGTTATTATTTATATGCAGATTAATTATATTTTGTATTTTGTATCTTTCTCTGTTGAGGAACTGAAGCTGACAGATGAACATGATGCAGCTTAAATAAATACAAAATTAAATAATAGGCATAAAGATTGTAGAAACACACTCACTTTGTTTGTTTGCTTCAAATTAAAAATAAGAACAGACTGAAAATCAAAAGTGCAGTTTCCTGTTTCAGCCACTAGAGGGACCAGTTCAACGTCTCATCGTCCTGAGGAGCCAAAAGAAAACTCCATCCTGTCAGAAAGTCGAACGTTTTATTCTCACAAAAGCATCACAATCACTCGAGAAGAGACTTTAAGAAACAAGAAAAACCACTAAACTCTCCTTTAACGGTACAAAACGTGTGTTTTCTGCTGCAGCTCCTCCTGCTTCATCCGGCCGCTTGCTTCCTGTGTGGTTAAAAAAAAACGTCCAGGAGACAGAAACGCAGATAAACTCAGATTATTTGTCAGTTTATGGGTTCGTTTGGCCTCGAAGCTTCTTTGGCAGGACGTTTATTCTGCTGCAAAGACAGCGTTTGTCTGAGAATTAAAGGTTTGAATTGTGCAAATCGTGATTGTCGCAAATTAACGCAGCGTCCAGTTCGATTGTCAGTTTTTCAGCCCAAATGATCGTTTTAGTCGTCTGGATGTGACTTCAGGTGCAAAACGCAGCGACTAAAAGAAACCACAATATTTTATAAACTATAGTTAAACCAGTTCAGTGGATGCAGCTTCAACAAGACAACATTTAAATGCAGCATAAAAACAAACAATAAAAAAAAAAAAAGAGTCAGAAAATAAACCAGCGTTCAAAGAAGCAGCGTTTTAGTTTCTTGTCGTTTTCGGATTTTTGTCTTTTTTTCTTCATGTTTTCTAATATTTGTTGTTTTGTTTTCAGTCAAACACAAACATACAAGATGTTCTGGATTGTTTGTCGTCATCTTTTAAAAAACAAGACGTGACCTGGTTTTAGATTTTGTGTTTGTTTTCAGTAAATGTTGAGTTTTCTGTTGTTGCGGTTTGTCACCTCCAGGCCTCCGTAGATCAACACCTGTTATTACATTTGGAACAACAGTCTTTTAATAACGACTGAGTTGTGAAAACGCAGATGAACCAGACGGTGGCTGGTTTCGTTTCTAGAATCGACGGGACCTGCTGAAGGACTCAAACTGTTTCCGGTGTGCAGAGCTGCTCAGTGCAGCTCGAGAAAACCAGCTTCTTCTTCTTCTTCTATAAAAAACTAAACTTCCCTTCTCACATCTTTGTTGTTTCACCTGAAGCTCCTAAACTCTTCAGTCCTCCTCCTACTCCTCCTCGTCCTCCTTCAGAGGCTCTTTGCTCTGCAGCGCCGTGTCAGAACCGACCGACTCGTAGTCGCCGCCGTCGTCGTCGTCCGTCTCGTTGGTGACGTACGATCCCTTCTGTCTGGACAGACACCACAGCAGCACGGCCACCACGCAGACCAGCAGCAGCAGCACGGCGCTCACCACTCCTGTAAAACACAACCGATCAGTTTACGATCAAAGAAACCTGAAGCGTGTTTAATACACGATACATTCCTGCAGGTCAAGCTGCTACTGAGCCGTAAACCTTTAATTCGAGCCACAGTTTAGTGTTTTTTTCAGTGCTGTTGCTGTAAAGCCACCAGCAGAGGGCGCTCCGACACCACAGGCGACCACCACGTGTCACATCCTCAGTAACCAGATCAAATGCATCTAATGAGCGAGTTAACAGTTAAACACACACACGAATGAGAGAAATATGAAGTTCTGCGAGTCAGAAATCACGTCAACCTTCAGACAACGTGAACCAAACGTTACACGCCGTCTGATTAAAGCGACGCCTGCTTCCTAACGTCCCTTCAGAGACGATCATCGAGCTACAAGCAGAGTTCTGTTGCAGAATCAGTGTGTTTACATGAATAAAACAGTTCTGTTTGGTTGTAATTTCAGCTGCAAAAACACTGAAGCTCGATGACACGACCGCTGCAGGTTCAAATAAAAAAACATTAAACCTCCTTTGAGTTCGATTTTAACATGTTTTGTGCATTTTAGAGCAAGTCAGACTGACTTTCTGATCTCTAAAACCCACCCACTGAAACATCTGCTTCACTCTGAGGACACACATCTCCACAACTAAACATCTGAAGCAAATGAAAAGTCGCAGACGAAAGCCTCGGGAGTGTTTCAGGTGTTTAACGAGGTCTGCAGGTGGACGTCTGTCTGAGCTGTTTAGAAGCTCANCCTTGAGCTCAAATTATCCAGATGATTAAGTTAGCTCAACTTTAATTTAGTTAAAAAACACCGAACACAGAAATTTGAATTCAAATTACTCACAATATTAAGTTGATTCAAATGATTACATTAATTCAACCCATCAAAATAAGGGTTTATATACAAGGACCTGAAAGTAAAAGTTTTTTTTTTTAAATAAATAAAAAATGCTCTGTTATGAGTAAAGTAATAATGAGTAGAGGATAAAATGTAAATATCAACCAAGAAAATGTGTTAAAAATCAATTAAATGTTTTAAAAAACAACAAAAACAAAACACATCAAATCAGTCTTTTTGAGTTGTATCAACTTCTAATGAAATTGTGTTCAACCAACAAAACAATTGGAGCTCTGGGAATTAGCTTCTTTTTTTTAATCTCCAGTAAAAACTAAATTATTCGTGTTATTGTCTGAACTCGTCCAGGTTTGTTAAGATCAGGGAGGAGACTTAAAGCCCTGAGCTCAAGTTATCCAGATGATTACGTTAGCTCAACTTTAATTTTGTTAAAAAACACCAAACACAGAAATTTGAGTTCAAATTACTCACTAGATTAAGTTGATCCAAATGACTACATTAATTCAACCCTTCAAAATAATGTCTGCAACCCAAAGGGTTTATCTAAACCAGTAAATGTAATTTTTTTTGTTTTTTTTAATTCACAACTATTCATTTAGTTAAATCGTGGGAATAAGGACCTGAAAGAAAAGATTTAAAAAAAAAAAAAAAAGCTCCGCTATGAGTAAAGATGTAATGAGTAGAAGAGAAAATCTAAATAGTAATCAAGAAAATGTGTTAAAAGTCAATTCAATTCTTTTTGAGTTGATTCAACTTCTCATGAAATTATGTTCAACCAACAAAAAAAAATTGAGTTCTGGGAATTAGCTTTTTTTTTTTTTTTTTTTTTAAACAAAAATCTCCAGTAAAAACTAGATTATGTAACTTAATTTTCCAGGTTTGTTAAAAGTCTAAAATGTGTGTAAAAACTAATGTTTAAAAAAGAAAAGACAGAAACTAGACAGTTTGAATCAGTGTTTT